TATATATATATATATATATATATATATATATATATATATATATATATATGGCCAGCGATCCCCTTGCTTATAGGGGAAGTCGTTCTCTTTGAGCTATGAATGTATTAGATTGCATTAGTGCATCCTTGCATACAAACCTGTTGAATCACACAAAATCCTTAAAAGACCCTTTACAATTCTGAGGAACGAACGCTGTGGCAAACATGAACATTTAATGAAAAAACTTCGATCTCGAAATAGAACATGAACTACCTAATGCAATGCACTTCATTGTGATTCATAGCGGAAGAATTGATCTATTCCCTGAGCCCACAAGTACAAGGCCTTTGTAATCGGTTTGTGAAAAAAAAACATGCATTGAAGCACATCAAATAAATTGGGTGAGATTCACCTACCAAGCCTCGTCCTCATTAGTGAGCGCACAATCCCCGTGGCCACCACATTCGCAACCATCAGTCACGTGAGGCTGTAACGTGGCAGTGGAGGGACATGAAACAATTCCGGTAACACGTTGGCTCTCCGGTGATGCAGTCATACGATTGGCTAGGCCTGTACTGGGACTGATGTGTACAGCGGAGGTAGTACTGACCTGACTCCGATGGAATTGTTGTTGTTGTTGCTGCTGCGACTGCTGTTGCTGTGATTGTGATGGCATTGCGGACAACAAAACCGGAGTGGCATTCTCATCGTAATCATTTAGGGTATGAGGTAATCCAGCTCGACCCAAAATGGAACGTGGTGAATTGCTTCTCGAATCAGGCAGGCGCGATTGATGGTTTTGCTGAAGTTCACGTACAGTGGCCAAAGTCGTCTCATCCAGATCAAAAACAGTCCGGTAGATTACATCATCTGGATCTATCAAACGACGTACATCGTCTAGAATTTCCGCATGGCGTAAACCAATAAGGCTGTATGGAAGACGTGGGGCTTTTTCAAGTGTCAACCCTGACCCTGAATTTTTATGGTTGGCTGAACGGTGTCGAATCCCGTTCGCCGTTCCCGCTGTTCTATTGGCCCCGTTCGAACGACGATCAGATTTTTCAGTCTTCAGTGAAGAAACACGGCGGGATTCAGTTGTTGGCACGGTGAGATAACTCGTATAGGTCACATCTGTGCGGATAAAAGAGGTGTAGAAAGACCATTTGTTTCAAGAAATCTATATAAAACACAAAATAAACCTGCTGTTTTCTTCAGAACACTAACCGTTTTTTAAATTTTATTCTCAAAGATGCCACAATTAAGATGGCTTTCTGATAATACAATTAGTGTCGAGCTTCCTCCTAGTTCTTTTTCAGACACAAGGAGGGTTATGTAACGGGTGGCAATCAATCTGAGTCATCCTTCTGTTCATAGGGTGGTGGTGGCACAGAAGTTTGGTAACCGTCAACGGCGAGCTTCGAAGCCCATGGTCCTAAGTTCGAACCATGTCCCTGTCACCATACTTCGGGAAAAGGCAGCCTTGTTTTTGTCCGGTACAATACCACAACTAGCCAAGTGGGGCCTTACGTGGTTTGTCACTCCGAATCCCGGGGCCTAGATTGCCGTTTGACGCGACTATGGGGTTCATCCGGTTTGCTGATCATTACACATGAAGTTGTAAAATGAAATACTTTTTTCATATATAAGAAAAGGTACTCAAGAGGTAGCAATCAAAATCGCTGCTCACAAGCATCTGAATAGGGGTAGCCAAAACTGAAACTTGAAACTCCTAGAGAGTGATCCGCTTTTGGCCAACGAACTTTGAGTGCATCAACCTATGTTCTTTTCCACGTAAGATTTCGGTTTTACCATTTGGAAGTTGGATTTGATTCACCTGGTTCTGGATTTATGCAGTGCGATTCGATCTATGATAATACTGAAAGCCAAATGAATCTCCCTCTCATCCAGATATTGCACTGTATTGGAATAACTTTTGTATGCCTAAAGCCTACAGTTCAGTTAAAAAGATACAGATTGGTGCGAGGGAGAAAATAAAACTTGAAAAAAAAAAGATATTTGAATCCCAGAATGGTCGACAAAGTCTGTGAAAACCTGCTTTTTGTTAACTGGTATACGTGCTAATCAGGAAACTGTAGAGTTACGATATATGTTTATTCGAGAAGGAATACAACGGTACTGGGATATAGTTGATGCATGGGAACGACAGAAAGTTAAATCTGTGTGTGTGCGGAGTTGATGATAATTTTACGTGCAAACGTTTCACATGCATTCAAATGACATTGGCGCAGCTTAGTGACCAACTCCTCCTCAAGCGGGATTGAAAAGACGCGGCTAATGCTGGTCAGTACAAGTAGAACCAATTGAAAATCTTTCTTTACGAGATTGGAAAAAATAAAACGTAAACAAGAAATTAAAACGGGGAAAACAGTGTGCTACACAAAATTTGTAAGTGATTGCTTGTTGAATACGAAACTGACGAAGTTTGCGGATGTGAAACGCTGTCAGAGTTTACTGACGACTTGTTGAATGTGAGAGATCCGATAAACATTAGCATTGATGAAAAACGCCCGATATTTATTACGGCTCCGGGACACCGGCTCCCAATGAATTGGGATTTACACACCGCCCCGCTGCCTCGTGGGTCACGCTTCGGTTGTGGATTCCTCAAAAACATTCACCCTCCTTGGCCCGGATAACCCGGTAGTATTTCGCCCAAATGCAAATCATGCAATATTTTCTTTTCCATTAAGTTTATTGTACTATGACTTGTTTGGCACACAGTCTGGCCTCAGGCGGG